CTGTCAGCACTCACCTATAGTATCAGCTTTACTGAAATGACGCGTAACAACATTGTCCATGTTGTCGTTCTCACACAAGTTCAGCTCCAGCAAATAGACCTCCACCTTACAGTGCTTGACAAACATGCCATGCTCAACAACCTGGGGAAGAAAGAAGACATTTAAGATCCCAAACCACAAGCGAATGGTCAAGTAAAAAAGAAAATCCTCAACAGCGTTACCTTCCTGACGATGGGTCTCTGGCACTCAAGACAGCTGTACCAGCTGACAAGCTTTTTCCATGCCTCAGTGGGTACAAGGACATAGTCCAGCTCATCGATAAGGTGCTCTTTCAGGGACTGAGTCTCCTGGTCTTTAAGGAAACAATAACAAAAGGATGACTACAGGCTGTACAGCTCGTTTAATCTCTATGTGGGATGTGTGCTGTTCGCAAGAGCAAGAAAAGCCCAATAGATGTTTCTTTACAGATGAAGGTTTTACCTGAGAAAAGCCCAGAGTTATCAATTGGTCCTGGATAGAGGCTACGTTCTCCCACATTGTACATATCCCAGCTGTCAAATCCAACATACTTCTTCCACTGTTTGAACCACCGGCTGTCTATTAGATACCTAAAACAAATGGGTTGGGAACAGTTAATAACAAACACATCACACTTTGAAAGACACTCGATCCTTTCTTCTGAACCTGTAAGACTTATACTTCTTAAAGCATTTTTGGTCACCTAATACGTTTATGATATGGCGCAAGGACAGGACAGGATCGAGAGGTGATACATGGGATTTGGAGAGACATTGTACCAAGTCCTATGTTAACCCAGAGAATGATGCAATACCAAACTGGATTGGCATGTGCAGCTATTGTAACAGCAAGTTAGTTTGACTTAATCACCTCCAGTTAGTAGACTTGTTAGCAAGCATTCACATAATACGATGTTAGGGTCATAGAAGTCAGTGAAAATCAATGCTTCACATAAGTGTGTCAATCATAGTGAGGTGTAAGATCTTTGCCCTTTGACCTGAGGTTAACTTCCCCAAGCTATGAAACAGTGTAAATATGCTTGTGGAAAATCTTACATTTCAGCGTGAACGCCATGGGATAGAAGTCCATTTTTATTTAGTGATACTGCAGTATCATGAAACACTTTATAGGCATTAACTGACTTTCAACAACTATATGAACATGTTGTTAGCTTAGTAGCTGATAGTCAATATAACTGTGGCCCATTTCTACAGAAGGCTATTTAAATTCTTGCTTATCTCACATTTCTCTGTTGAAAAATGTAATAGTGAAACCTCTTTAAAAACAACTCGCTGCATTGTGCCCAGGCCTGGACGGTCTTTAGGATCTGAAACATTGTTAGCAAACACCGGAAGCTGGCCGGTTAAGAAACCTGTGAGACAACTTCAACTGGTACGTCAGTACAAGCAGGCAACGACTCGCAAAATAATCCTGTCAACGGGCCCATTTCCTGATACCTAACGTTACTTATCCAACAACGAGCCGGTCTGACTGGCAAATAAACTCACCATCTGAATCCAGGGCCTATTCTACCAGCCGACAAACTACCACATCAGATAACGTCACTTAAGTTGTCACAAACCCGACAGTAACATTTACAAATGACCCACTTAGTCATGCTAGTTTCGTTGTATACAACCAACGTTCATATCTGTTACTACAGGCACCATGGAAATATTTAAGTCGAGCTGGCTAGCAGCTAGCGGGCTAACTTGTTAAACGTTAGCTGGACAAAGTATCGGTAGCACAGCAGCTTTCGATTTCTGACTCGCAAACGTTGGTTCCGTTAGCATGCTAGCTTTAGCATGTTAGCATTTCCTGTTTCTCACTAGCTAACGTTAGCTAGCTAACGCTAGCTGAAAACACACAGGTAACGTTGGCCGTGGACGATTCTTACCATTCGTCGCCCTTTCTCAGAGTAGTCTTCAAAAGTGACCCGATAGTCTGTTTCTGATTTTCGGTTGATGGGGTTGGCATTTGTGCGGCTACCGGCTCCGAGTCGGAGTCTGCCGCGCCACCCGGCTCGGGTCCGCCTCCCTCGGCCATCATGTAGCGAGTGTGCCGGTCTCGTGAACGCGCGAATGGAAGAGGCGCATACTCGACTTGAGCGAGCTTCAGAGCTCTGCTCGAGGAAACGTTCTTCCTCTACGGTCAGTGACGTTGCACAATCGAGTAGAGCTGCTGTAGCACTCCAATGCGAGTGCTCTGGCATCGCCAGTAAATCACAGAGGAGTCATATAGCAGTGTACCAATAGGGCTACTAAAAAATAAGCATCCTTGTATTATTATGTCCTCAGAACATCAACAAACCTCAGTAGATAGCCTGACGGATGATGTTTGCTTGCGTCGGGGTGCATTGCAATAAAGAAAACTATATATTTTGTCAAAACAGGCTTTATGCTGTACAAAACACAGAGGGGTTACAATACAAAATAAACCATCTACATACTTCAAAAACACAATATTTCAAATCACACAAACATTCTCCCTGCCAAGAGCTAATCAGTTCTGGGTCTATTTCCAGCTTTCGGCAGCTGATCCATCTAACAAAGGAGTCATTAAAGATGGTTAAAGTATAATAAAATAAACGTCTATTGTTTAAACATGAGGACACATATGGAGATTGAAACAGCTAGTCTAGCTGTGAATGACACAATAAACAAAGGAAGCACTGGGTAGTTCACATTCTATTACCTAATGGCATGATGGCATACAGTTACAAGCTAATAATAATGCATTCCAATAAGCAAAAAGCCACTTAATATCTCCCAAACATCTCCTTGTCTCAAAAGAGATGGAACAGCAGCAGAACCAGTGTATTATTAAGTCATTTCAGATATTATATGGAAAGGTAATAATACATGTGAAAAGACAAGGACAACAAATAAGTGAATGTAAACTTTGCATAACATGAAGGGATTTGTCCCATCTCTGGGGCTCAAACCAAAAACAAATCCCTGCATTGATCAAAATTCAAACAGAAAGGCTCCAAGTAGAAGTGACCAGGCCATCAGAAGATGCCGCTTGGCAGCTCCTTGCTAAACATGCCATCAAAGTCCAGCTCTCTGCTCATCAGATCCTCCTCTACGCTCTCCAGCGCCCACTGATGGTCCGTCAGTTCCAGTGCCTCCCACTCCGCCTGAAATCAAGGACAGACGTCACATGAACAACCAAGCAAAGCCCCACCACATTAATGAATTACGCTAAAACCACTGCGGTATATACCTTGAAAGCTTTATTTGTATCTGCAGGCATGGCCATGGCTGCACCACTCATCTGCTCCTGCATGATCCTCGACTGATCTGCACCTGTGGGGATTGAACAACATAAATTGAAGCAATCATCTTCTGGGAATGACAAATTATTATCTGAATGCAAAGGCCGTCCTCATAAGAACTGATTTGTAAATAGCACTGACCAGGATGCATCTGTACCTAAATCTTAAAAATGTAACTCTCAGATTGTGTATTGAAATGAAATATTGTTTTCATGCTCACATTCCTGTGAATCAAATAACGACTTGTAGTATGACACAGTTGCTATTGCTGTTGAAACTATAATAATATGATACTCAGCATAAGTAGAATTTACATTTTCACGTGATCATCGAACAATCTGACCCGACACAACATTCAAAATGATCTTAAAATTTGCAACAATTACCATTATCTTGGCCTAGGATTAATGAGTACATGCTTCGTAGTCCAAACACGTTCAAGAAATACCACGACGCCGAGCTCACCCTAGAGGATAAATGCACACAGAAACAGACACAAATGTCAAGAGAGGCACACACTAGCTTAAGCATTTTGAGATTAATACGCAACTAATGCAGTACATCTCTACAGATCTGGTTTCATTAGTTTACCAGGAGGCATCCAGTGAAAGCAGCTCTACTCCTTGCTGAAGCATGGGCTTGAAGCGCAGAGTGAGAGGGAAGGGAACCTTAGCTGTGTGGAAGAGAGTGAAGAAAGAACTCAATGTAGGATTCACATATAAAACTACATCTTATCTGGTAGCAAGACACATTCAGAGTTATTTTTTGTGCGGGTCACATTCTGCCCCCACAAGCTGCCAGATCTCTGAGAGAGTGACATAATTACTTGTTACAAATCCTGAAAAGGTCCAGTTGATCCAGCCTCCAATGAGGATCATGGGAAGAACATTGGTGACATTTCCTTTCATCATGTCGGTCAGCATGCTGGGATCTGTGAAAAGAGACAAAACGCACTCAATGAACTTCTTGCTAAGTACTGTTTAAATATATATATATATATATATATATATATATGCATGTTTTGCACAAACAAATTAGGAACAAAACACAGAAACGTTAATTGTTTAATGACAGACATTTTTTATTTAACTAATTTACAATGTGCATTTTAACGCTAAAGGTTGCGTCATCATATCATGTTCAGTGGTAAATACTTAAAATGATTACCTGTCATTGGAGAGGGTGGAACAACCTTTCTTTTGGTCTTCTTGAAAAATCCATCTTCTTGATTATTGAAGAAGAACTTCCTCATCAAAAAAGACTGAAACAAGGCGAGATATTTAGTAACATTGTCCGACACGCTGCATTTGTGACAAACAAATGCAAAGACCAGTGGTTTTGTGTTGAGAGTGCGTTTCATATATGGTGGACAATAAATCGTACATGTGTCAGAGATGGATGATGACATTTGCTACCTGTTTGGGGATGTATTTTCCATTTTCTCTGAGGATTCTGCTCCGAATAAGAACCTGGCTGGATTTGGAGAAGAAAACAAATTGATTAATTCACATGACTTTCAAGTGTTTGTTTTTTAAAATAGGATCCACCTCACAATTAAAGATGACCTACCTGTCAGAAACCTGTTCTAACGTCAACTTCTTGTCACTTTGAAGAAGAATGGATACATAATGCCGTATCACACCGACTAAAAACGTGATGAAGACAATGGGCAACACCACCCAAAGCCGGATATTAGAGTCCAGCAGAAGCTCCGGCTCAGCCATCCAGCCTCGTAGCTTAACTGAAGAATGAAACACGAGCGTAAGAGAAATACGTTCAATACACAGCAGGCAAGTTAAACACAGCTTTAAGTAGTCTCAACTATTGAGGTAAGCTTCTAACTGATGTAAGGCGTTCTTATTGGGATAGTTTACTAAATTACTAAAATGTAACATAGCTATAGCTAAACCACAGAGCTGTCAGTCCATTTAGCTAGCTAGCCAGCGTCATTACCGTAACGTTACTAATAGGTCACGTACGTTATCAAGCTAACGAGCTAACGTCAAACCACCTAATCTAAACTCCACGGCAAAGAGTACAAAAACAATCTGTTGTCGACTAAAACCAGCAGCAATAAGGAATGTAATCCACCACCGATTAGCTGACGCTAGTGGTTCGCTAATGGTAACGTTAGCACCAGCTGGCTACCTTGTTCCTGGTGCCCGGGGTCACAGTTTGTGGGAGCTGGAGAGTCGTCTGAAGCGCAGTGTTGACCACTTGCAATGTGTTTTTACCACAGCTGCGAGGGACGCAAAGCATATGCTTTGTGAGGTAGTTCAAAAATAATTAAAACAACATGTAACAGTTCGAATCCACTGCTGCGGCCATCGTGTTGAGGGATGAGAGCCTACTGTCTGTGGATGAGAGCAGATTTCTGCTTCTGCAGATCATCCGCACCTCACCGGGACTCCAGCGACACCCAGCGGTGATGGGGGGAACTGTCAGCCCGGGCCAGCCAAGCGTTCCTCTGTCAGAGATGTAACCGCACCAGTGGTGGAAGAAATACTCTGTAACTTAGGTAAGAATAGCAATATCACAGCATACAAATGATCTACAAGTAAAACTCCTACATTAAAAAAGTACAAAAGTATTGGCATCAAAATGCACAAAATGTACCGAAAGTAAAAGCACTCATCATGCAGAATAGCCCATTTCAGAACCATATATATTATATTATTGTATTATAATCATTGTACATCACTTTAAAGTTGATAAAGGTGGATCATTCAATTTACTTTTGATACTGCCGGCTAATTAGTAAACGTCCCTTAAGGATACATGAAGTCTTATTTCGTATTCATCTTAACCTGCAAAGTAACTAACTAAAGGTATGGAATTTATATAGTTGATTACAAAGTACAATATTTCTCTTTGAATTGTAGTGTGGTAGAAGTATTAAGTAGCAGAAAAATGTACAAGTACCTTACATGATTAAATTAAATGTCCTTAGTTACTTTCCATCACTGAACTGCACACAATAAATAGTAGGTGACATGTTGTAGGTTACAGCAACCAAATAAAGGAGGAATAGCAATTTCATACTGTTTCTTTATTTGCTTCCACATTTGAAATACAGTAAAAGCTTAACAATTTAATTTGAGTTCAACACAAGGCCATTGTAATTGTATATAATTTAACATATCTCTATTATAGTCCTATTGATGCACATGTAGGAATGAAAGTAGTGAAGATAGATATGCAGGGCAGTAATTGTATATATTAAAAGTGCAGAGACTAAAAGGAATTGTATAACACTGAAACAAGCATAACAAATAGACACATGTCGTATATTTAGAAATGAATGATGGCAAGGGAGATATTGGGAAACAGGAAGCAGCCTACTATTGTGACCAGGTTTAGGACAAGTAATATGGATTTAAACATCTTTTATTTTCTTTCTTAATGGATCAGACACAGAACCAGATTTATTGACCATGTGTTTTTAGACGAGGCAAACTGTTTGGCCTCCTATAAACTGCATCTAGAGCGCTGTGTCAGTGGTATAAAGATATACAATAAGGCCTGTGTAGATTTAACCAACACTTGAAGTGATATATTATTACTTACATATGATTCAATCAATTTAAATTACTCTGCTTTTTTATTTTTTAAGTACAGTAGATGTTTTGATCATTTCCACAGGGAGGGAGCGTTATCATTCAATGTTTGTTGTGTGTGCGCTGTGGTCTCCTGACCAGTAGGGGGCGGTATAGCGCGACGCGTCCGTTTGCCATCAGACTTTAATAGAGAAGAAGACTACTGACCAGAAACTGAAGATAAAAAAAACCTTCTAGCTTGAAACCACTCCGGTAACCAACAGATAAAACAGTCTGTGTTATCAAAACGGTATGTAACATGAAGTTGTATTTGTTTCTGCTGACGTAAGCTAAGTAACGTAAGTCAACGTAAGGTCTCGGAAGCTATAAAACGTCAAAGCTAACGTCCACCGCACATAACTAACGTTAGTTAAACTGGCCTGCTTGCTAGTGTGTTAGCAAAGGCCCGTTCAGCAGGGACATATCAGCTTTTTAGCTAACGTTTCATACACTTGTGATTGTTCTACAGAGTTCCGTGATCAAACGTGTCTCCATTAAACCATGGGAGCTGATAAAAGGTGAGCTGGACATCCTTCAATACGGAAGTGGCACATATATTCAGTGTATTCGCGATGACACTCCCGTTTTCTCTGTTTCAGGCTTAGTCGGAGTGAACGTAGTGGAAGATATGGCTCGGATGGGAGGAGAGAGGACCCAGAATGGCACGATAGACTGGGTAGAGACGTGGAGAGGGATCATGACCGACAATGGGGTGATGACAGACCCCGAGAACGTTTTGATGAGCGCAGAGACAGTCCAGAGGTCAGTGGATAGCAATGCGTTTGTCAGTTCATGTTACTTTCACACATGTAACAGGAAAATACAAAACATCTCGGTTCATAATAACAGTGTTATTTATTTTCCCTTGCCTGCAGCAGAGGAGCCGAAAGCGGCGCAATAGTGACAGATCTGATGATGAGTATGACGGGGATTATCCAGACCAGGACTACAAAATGGAGCAGGAGGAGGAGGAGGAGAGCAAGACCATCATGCTGAGGGGCCTCTCTCTCCATGTCACAGAGGATGATGTAAGCCCACCAGCCCCACTGATGCTTTTTAAGGGTAAAGCCACACCCAGCGTAAGGAGATGGGTGTAGCTGCATATTTCATGAGGAACAGCAAATCCCTTACAAAGAGTGTGAGGGTATTAGAGGCAAGGGGTGAATCTGCTGATTGAGGGAGGTTTTGGCTTCATTCAGTCCGGCTTTACCGCAAATTCTGAGGATTTCTTCGGGCAGTTTGTATCGTTTCGGACGATGAATTTGTTAGAGGAATGCAACTAATGTCAGATTCTTTTTGTGACGTGACTAACTTGGTAAGGAAGAGGCAGCGCACCTTTTCTCAAAACGGGGAAATGACATAAAGTCTGACAATAGGGTTGGTTATTGGAACTGATGGAGAAATGTTGTTAACGTTAGGCAGAACAGTGAGGAGTTGTATTCGGATTAATTTGACCTTCTGCTCCAATCCTCCAGATACGCTCATCACTCGAGCAGCTCCAGGGGCCCCAGCCTGTGGACATTCGCCTAATGAAGAAAAGGACAGGTGAGTGCTGAGTGTCTCACGCTCACCTTCACACTCTTACAACCCACATTCCCTATTTATTTATTTATTTATTTGTTGCAACTCGTGAAAAAAAAAAAAAAATACTCCTACTACAACTGTCAGGGGATCCTTTGTGTCGCATAGATTGTCTGGTTTTCATAGTATCGCCAGGTAAGGAGGTAACTGTATGTGCTATTCCTCTACTGTTTTTTATGTACAGACATGAAATGTTATGGTAAACAAAATCCCCCCCCCCCCCATATCCCCTTTGACCTTGTAAGCACCCTTCCCACCTCCATTTTTGATTTGAGTTGGAGTGTACAAGCCCTTTGTGAGTCTGAATGTTGCACCAAAAGCATTCTAACTAACACGCCTCCCGTCTATATTTGAATGCTGTCTCTAGGTATAAGCCGAGGTTTCGCCTTCGTGGAGTTTTATCACTTGCAAGATTCTACACGATGGATGGAGACCAATCAGGTTGCCTTTAACAATCACCAAGTTTCGAGTTATTCTTGGAGATTAGAGCCCCAGTTAACCGACACATGACTGATCATTGAGAGCTGTGCATATTTGCAATAGACAGATGTTGGTGTTTAGTTGCAGGACTGTATCATAACCATGGGCACGCAAAACTGTGACTATCAAATGTAAATGTGTTTGATAATCACACAATTGTCTGATTTTATTTGTATACAGCAGCTTTTTCAGACATTATAGTCTCTCAACTGCTTAGTTTACTCAATGCTAGGAGTTCAGTGTTGAGTCACTGTATACAGGAATGAACTCTTTAGTCGGCTCTGTTACAAATATGAGAACATAGTCAGAGCCTTAACCTAAACACGTGTTTGCCCCTCATGAAAGAAGACTGAACAGTGGTTCCATAGCACATTCTGCTCCAGCTCAGTCACTCGGATATTTTCTCATCTCCATTTAAAATCCGAAGGCTGGAGTGAGACATGGACGAGCTGGCAGCACTCCGATCCCAAACACTTAGAACCCGTTTGTTTTGAGACCTCGTACACAAAACTGCAGCGTTCTCTCTAAACTTCACTTTCTACCTCTGTTCCCCTTTTTACTCCCTGAGACACTCTACCTAAGCAGCTACGGGTGTAAGCCTAGCCACTCTCTCCCGTTCCAGCTGCTCTCACTCCTCTCTGTGGAGTCTGAAATAACTGGTGGCCTTTGACTCCGCAGAACAAGTTGGCGATCCAGGGCAAGAGCATTGCGGTGCACTACAGCAACAGGAGACAGAAGTTTGAAAACTGGCTTTGCAATGCAGTGAGTACAACTTTATTTGTCTTTGTACCGTTAGCGTTTTTTGTTTGTATTGTTTTAACTGATGCACCTTATCCTGTTCCTTCACACCACTGTAATGATGTACTCATCATACTTATATGTGTAAATATGCTATATATTTACTAAGCTTTGGTATTATCAGAAGTTGCACATTCTGTCCATTCTTTAATTCCGTTTCACCTTCCAAGTCTTTCGTGTGTTTCTCTCCGGGAGGATCATTCAAAAGATCAAGAAACACTAAATACCTCGGTCATACGCCGAGTAAAAGATAGGATAAATACAAAACTACTTAAAAAAAAATACATGCATTTGGTACTAAACTGTGATCCCAGAATGATATATTCTATATATTGTTTCTTTAAAAAAAGACCACAACATTGTCATTGGTTTATCACAGTGTGGCCTGTACAATTTCCGGAAGAGGCTGAAGTGTTTCAGGTGTGGAGCAGCCAAAGTTGGTGAGTTGCTACTTCAACAAACTCTAAGTATAAGTTTGTTCTTCCTGCATGTGTCCTGCACTACTTTATTTCAGTGGCCCGCCCTGACTAGTGTTAACCTGTGTGTCCCTCTGCCTCGTCTTTGCTGAGTACAGACGGAGAGCCACCAGCACTAAGTGGTTTAACTGCTGAGTCTCAACAGCCAGGAGATTACAATGGAGACAGTAAGTGACTTTTTCACCACATATTCAAATAGTATGTCCCCCCCAGTAATCGTATTCCACATTCATTCTCGGACACGTTGTTTTGTTTACAGCAATCATTTTGAGAAACATTGCTCCTCTTTCAACTGTTGATGGCATTTTGAACATCTTGGCCCCCTATGCCAACCTGTCGGCGGGCAACATCCGCCTCATCAAGGACAAGCAAACGGGACAGAACAGAGGCTTTGCCTTTGTTCAGCTCTCCTCTCCCCTGGTACGTTATTTCTGTAGTCATGATATACGTCGGTATGTTTCTTCTGGGCGTGTGCACACGTTTGACAGTTTTCATCTTTATTTCCTGTATAGGAGGCTTCTCAGCTGCTCACCATTCTCCAAAGCCTCCAGCCACCTCTAAAACTGGACGGAAAAACAATCGGTGTGGATTATGCCAAGAGTGCTAGGAAGTGAGTCATCACACACACACGCACATAGACACATACGGTTTGATTCAGCTCTCTATTATTAGAAAATAGCACATAAAAGCTCTTTCGTATCTGAATTTAGATTCACATTCATAATCACATTTAGCTGGAGGCTGCTTATTTGGTCCTGCAGTAATTCAAATGCGAGCATCGTTGAGGCAAATGAGCGGCTCATTTTTCATCCTGCATGTGCTGCAGATTTCAGGTTGAACTAACTGCTCCGTGTCCTTTCCAGAGACTCGACTCAGCCCGATGGGATCAGAGCAAGCGCTCTCTCTGTCGCCAGCACAGCCATTGCTGCCGCTCAGTGGTCATCCAGCCAGGTATCGGGGTTCTACTCGTGCCGTTTTCTACTTCGAAGTCATTTTGTTGCACTTAAAATTCCCTAAACTTAGTGGTGTGACATTAAAGGCAAAGAACAGCTGGTTTTAATACACATCTTCGCAAATATGGCATCTTTAAAAGTTAGGACGATGGTAAAGTGTGAAAAGCTCTTGCGATCCATAGACATGGTACAAATGGCTCATGGATTTTTTTTATATACGTCTTAACTGAATTTACTAATTTTTTGTGCAAAATATTGGCTCAGTTGCAAATGCAACTTTTACTTTTTTTCGTTGGGGTTCTTGTGTGTTGCTGCTGACTTTTCTCTGTATTTCCTTGTAGTTGCAGCAAGGTTCTGGCACCGCCTCTGACTACATTGCCCTTCCAGATGGCTATGCACAGCAGACACAGGTCAGTTCACAGTCGACTTTATCGTGGCAGTGACTTTAAGAAGGAAGACCAGTGATTGACGTGATGTTTTTTCCCCTCATGTAGGGACAGAATTATCAATTATGGCAGCAGCCTGAAGCCTTGGCTCCTGTCATCGGTGATGGATTACTCGGAGGTAAAAAAGAGGGTCAAATCACTCGGAGCTATTTAGTTTTTTCACCTGGGATTGCTAATCCATCATTACCGACTGTCTTTAGCTGCTCCAGGAATGAAGACCTTGATCCCTGCAGCCGCCGGTGTGGTCATATCCCAGACGGCTCAGGTTTACCATCCTGTCATTATCAGCCAGCCTGCCATACAGGTAGGCCGTGTATTAACATGGCATCTATGTACTACATTTAAAATGTACAACTCTTGGTGTCGTCCGATGGCTACAAAAGTACATCATGATTTATTCCCTCCTCACTTTCAGCCACACCAGTTAGTGCGGGCTGTTGATGCAGCGCAGCAGATTGCACCACCGGTAACACCAGCAGCGTCCACTGCTGCCGCAGCTGTCGTCTGTGCGGCCCCAGCTGTTAACACGACAGGTGAGATTAGTTAGCTTCACTATGGCTCCTCTGCTTGTCAATGACTAGATCAACAAGTGATTTGTTTCATATGTCCTCTTGTTGTTTCCGTAGCTGCCCCTGACACCTCAGCATACCAGTATGAGGAGTCTTCAGGGTACTATTATGATCCACAGACGGGCCTGTACTATGATCCCGGCAGCCAAGTATGTTCCCCGTACTCCTGCTTTATGTGCAGAATATATTGCCAAACACTGTCATTTATTTGATCTTTACATCCTATTTCTTCTGCTTGTCATCAACAGTACTACTATAACTCTGAGACTCAGCAGTACCTCTACTGGGACAGTGAGAAAGGGAGCTACATCCCTGCACCAGACATGAGCTTAGCCAACAGTTCCTCAGCCACGAACAGTAAAGAGCCCAAAGAGAGAAAAGAGAAGCCCAAAAGCAAGTCTGCACAGCAGGTAAGTGCTTCTTTTTAAAAAGTTATTCTCCGTATGGATTATATCTCGTCATTTAAATGATATCCGTACTGACTGATAATACAATTGCAGATTGCAAAGGACATGGAGCGGTGGGCAAAAACTTTAAATAAGCAAAAAGAAAGTTTTAAGAGCGGTTTCCAAGGCTTTGGACCATCCAAGGAGGAGGAAAGGAGAGAGTCTGCAGCTGCCGATGCAGGTTTCTTCCTCTTTGAGAAAAAGGTATTTAGTAGTGACTACTAGCCCCGAGTATGTTTTGCATCGTATTAGTGTCATAGCGTACTTGGAACGGTACTAATATAGACTGAGAGGCTCACTGGGAACTCACATTCATTCAAATTCATACTTTTAGAATTTTTTTTGTGTGAATGAGAAGTAATCCCCTAATAAGTTTATTTTTGTTAAGTTTGCTCACCCCACTGTGAGAATCACCGATGCAGCTTATTTTTGTTATTTGTTGATGAAAGTTGTCGCTTCCTTTTCAGCAGATGGGAGGTTTTGAGATGCCGTCTTTCATGATTGAACAATTCAAGATCACAGAGCAGGAGACTTCAGCCAAGGTTTGTTTGTGCCTTTTGCCTTTATTTCCACAGTTATTAATAAAGATGAATCTCATATCATTTAATCCTTTTTGTCATCTTACAGAGCGGCCTGGTTGCCGCTTACAACGGAGACAGTGACCCCGAGGAGGGCGGCTCCTATAGAGCAGCAGACGAGGAGGGGAAAATAACGGACTGGACTAAGATGGTTTGTCTGCTGTGTCGACGGCAGTTCCCCGCCAAGGATGCTCTGCTGCGTCACCAGCAGCTCTCTGACCTCCACAAGGTGAGCCTGGAGAAACAGCGTGTGTTTAATCTGCAAGTAGCTGGGAATATTTAAAGTTTCAATACACAATGGAAAGAACATTATTAATCCTGTGCTGTCTTGAATATATATGCTCTGCTGCGTCACCAGCAGCTCTCTGACCTCCACAAGGTGAGC